ATGTTCTGGCACCTTGTTTGTTATCTACGCTACACGAACTCTGAGTGCTATGCCCCGCCCTTATATATTCACAAAGTGCCAGCTTTCCTATGCAGCCAATGTAGCTTGTTTCTTTGCTTTCAAACCTTCAATGACGCTCGATGATGTCCTACGGGCTCTGCTGCTTCGACGTGCTTGGCCATGCTTCGCTCTGTTGGCTCGCGCACAGGTCTTCCACTGCTATGTCGTCCTGAGACTCATATGCTAGGCATGTTTGCAATTGGCAACGTGCATTTGATCGGTTGGCATGATGACGGCGTGTGGATCAAAGCTAGGTGGGCTCATAACGCATTAATAGGGCAGTGTCTCCGAGGAGTCTACATGAGGTGTGACTTGGCGGTCTGCAGAGCACGTGCTGTATGACCTTACGGCCGACAAAAGCGGACCGTGTGTCAATCCTCGTGCAATCTCCTAAAGGATGAAGTATGGAGAAGAACATTAGCCTCTCGAAGTATTGAAGGTGTCATCCGCGCGCAAGCTTCACTAGACATCCTTCGTAGATTCTGCCACAACGTGCTAAATGTTGCTTGCGCCAAAAAGACGAGAACGATCGCTGTTTGCGTCTTAAGGGCTATCGATTGAACCAGAAGATCTGCACCTTCGCCATCATTGCCCCTTTCTCTTCAAATGCCGAAGATGCGGAAAGCGTAGCATGTGTTCAATGGCCTCGAGTCACAGTCGCCTGCCCAGTCAGAGTTGCTGAAGTTGCTCGTGATGCGATCCTTATTGCTGTCGAAGCACAATTTGAGGATCTTGGTGCCTTCAGTTATGTCAGGGCTTTGTGAGCAGCTCGGATGTGCATCTCCGATGGATCGGCGATGTATTGCGGACAGCGACTGACCGCATGTGAAATGCCTGGTCGGGTGCCAGCACAACCCATTACAGTGCTCTTGTGATCAAACCATACCGTCGAATGCGTTCGGGAATTGCGACTTGTTCCGCCAGATCTGGGTTCTCTGGTGCGCCTAGCTTCCGTCACGCTGCGCGTCTTTCTGCACATCGGAAATATATCCCGCTTGGCTCAATATGCAAGGCCACGACGTTGCACGGTAGTCCACATTGGCGCTCAAGATGCAATTAATGCGGCCATTGTCCATCAGTGAAAAGACGCTGCCAAAGTGCTGCTTTGATCCTGTCCTCGCGCGAGCCGCCGACGAGAATATCATCTACATAAACGACCAAGATCAAGTGTGGGTCGCCTTTGTCAGTGTAAACGCAGGGCTCACTCCGGCAGCACGAATAACCGAAAGCTTGAACTCAATTGTCTAATCCCTCGTTCTAAAGTCTTGCGGCCTGACGAAGGTCGTAGAAGGCTTTGCGGAGGCAATAGCATTTCTTTTCGTTTCTGGCCTGCCGTCCTCAGGAGCAATGGGGAGGGAAAGGTCGGAGTCAATCGTGCCGGTGAGGAACGTAGTTTCGATGAGCTGATGGTCATGAAAACCGTATCGATCAGCGTATGGAAGATGCGGATGGTACCGATGCGGGCGATGGTGGCCGAAGGTCCCGTGGTAGGCGACGTCGGCTGACGGCGTAAAGTCTTGAGCGACGAGCCGCGCGTTGTAGTGCAGTGCACTCCTGAATTCGTCCAACTTGAGTTTAAAGGTCCAATTCTAGCCGAGCGGCTTGACGCGTTCCGGTATGTCTACCAGCTTCCATACACCCACAGCATTCGTTGAGCTCATCTCCTCATCCATCACAGCTTTCCACTTCGGCCAGCCAGGCTTAGCCTTGGCTTCCGCAAGCGAAAGTGATTCCAAGTGGCCATCTGAGCTCCCCAGTATTTCCCTTGCAGGCTTGAAGACTCTTCAATCGATGACTGGCCGAGTGAACGCGTACCGTTCTGCATGGTTGTGAATCAATCTCAAGCCAGACCTCGACTGCACATGCAAAGGCGAAGTGCGCGTATAACTTGGTGAAGAAGTCAATGTCGTGGATTTCGTCCGTCATCATGCCCTTGCTGCCCTCAACCAAGCATTCGTAAAGCTAGCGCACTGCAGCATGTAGCTCTTCTCTGCTGAGCTCGGAAGGAAGTCTAGATACTCGTTGCGAGCGCCCACTGTGGGAATTTCTATGACAATCAAAAGGGATCGGCTAACTCCGTTTGACCTCATCAATGTCAACGATACCATCTGCGGCTTGAAATCGTTGTCCCACCTCTCAACTATCTCCAAGCCTTGACCTGTCTGTTTCATGTCGCGCATGTGGACGAAGTCGTTGACATTAATGAGGTCGAACGGTGTCAGACGGTCCCTCTCGGTTTTCGAAGAAGTTTGACGGTCGGGGTGACTTTCTGGGACGGTGGAATCTGCCTGGTCATTGTCCTCAGCTGCAAGTGTATGAAAGACTGCACAAATTCCTGGCGGGGCAGATGAGGATCGACGTGTTCGGGGTCGTACTGTGAGATAGGTGGGAAGTACTGGTCGAACAGCTGAGAGGCATTGAGGCTGCAAAGCGAAGTCACGATGTGGAGACGTTCACACATCTCGAAGCCAAGATCAGTCTCAGACTCAACGCCCAAGGCTATGGTCTTTGTAGAACATGTTGCATACCACCACAAGCGAGTTATACGCGTTGACCGTTTGGCCCTTGTCTGTCGGTTTGGCGAACTGGTCAAAAGCATGGAACACTGGAGCGTGGAAGCTGCTGAAGAGGGAGCTGAAGTTCTTCGCTACTTGACGTCGTCCCAAAGGTTCTTGAGACGATCGGGGGCGTAAGCCTTGACGGGGTCAACGCATCTCTGATCGTTGAAGCGGAGCTGCCGGTAGTGGACACGAAGCGTGAACACGATCGGTTGCGGTAAGGATTGAATTTATACTCTATTAGAAATGCAAGGGGAACTTAGATTACAACCATGAACACACTACCAGCGAAATGGCGTAGGGATTGTTAGCAATAGCGGTGTCACCAAGAGGATCATGTCGCAAGAAAGGATAGAGAAGTCGAAGAGGAAGTGTGGCAAAATGCAGATAAATGCCGGCCGGGCGGGAGATGCTATCGAACCTATGTTGGTTGACGTTGTTTTGAGGTGTAGTCTCTAGGTCTTGAGACTCTCGCGGTTAGGACCGCCGCCCTCATGGTCGGCTGACCAGAATACAAGCAGGAATAACACTCCGTCCAGCAACTTCGCAACTCCATTTTTACCATTCTACCTCGTCTTATCTTATTTTTAGCGTGAAAAGATGATTCAAGAGCAGAAGGCCGGGAATAATGACATAATTTGTGTTGTGGACAATATGGAGAGCCTCGAGATGAAACAGGGTATTGGGGCCCAGTTGAGCGAACGCGGTCAATAATATTTGAACTTTAGCTAGGGATATCCGTAGCTGGTAACCGCAGATAGGAAGCAATTTCCGACAGAGACCAAATCTATTGCTGAAAGATACATCTATTGCGAATGGACACCGCCATGTTTAACCCGCCAGGCTGCTACAGGCAATCGCTGCAGACGCTTACAGATCGGCAAAATGTAGAACACGAGCAACGCCAAGCCAATAACGACACAGAGTGTACTGGTGATGTAGTAGCCATCTTTGACGATGATGCACTTGCCATGGGCGCTTGAGCAGGCTGCACTACCCTTGTCGGTAATACATTCACCAATCTCAAGCGTTCCAGTGGACCTCGGCGCTTCACATTTAGAAATTGTAAAGAAATCAACCGCCTTCAGGACGAAAAAGCGAGGCCAAGTGCCGCCGAGGTTGCTGACCGTGTTCAGCAGCGTCATGTAGGTTCCCCCAATGACAGGGTCGGCAATTTGTGTGTGGAAAGCACTGATCCCGACGAATTGCACAGTTGAGGCAAAGTTCCCGGTCACAGTTGTCAGGATAATCAAAAAGAAGTAGGCTGAGTTAACTGGCTGGGGGAGGTTCTTGACAATGCCCATGTTGACCACCGCGAATGCTAGCCTGGCGATGAAGCCCCACAGCCATGGCCGGAGTGCATTGTCGCCTTTGGACCACTTCGCGGCGAGATATCCAAGCACAATTTGGAAGGGAAAATCGATCAAGACAGAGAGCGCGAGGTCCTCCTTGCCGAACCCTTTCTCGACTAATTTCAACCCGGTG